CTCAGAATGGTACATATATATATATCTGTATATGTTTATATCCATTTATTGTTATATATGTCTACATGTCTATATGTATACATATATATTTATTTTTATATACATATATATATATATATATATTAATATATATATATATATATAAATGTATATATATCTGCATATGTATATATATATATATATATATATATATTTGCATATGTATATAAATATGTATATATGTATGTGTATGTTTACGTATGTACGTATACGTATACATCTACGAATCTTATATATATATATATAAATGTATGTAGATATACATATATATGTATATATATATATATATTAGATATAATTCATTTTCAATGGATGTATTTTTTCATGTATGTTTTTATACATTAGATATGTATATATGGACGTGGATTTGGATATATGTATACAGATGTATTTTTATAAGTCTATATTGAAATGTATATATATATATGCGTGTTTGTGTATGTATGTTTGTATAGATGCGCATGTCTATATATGTATATTAATCCATACTTGGGCGAATGTGTAGTCATCATTCATCGTGATTGAATTTTATCTTTTTCTCTCGTTTGGAAATACATTTTGTGTCCATCGATAATTAATGTACAACTGGCTATTTGGATACTACAATCGTTGGTGAGTGTTTAGTCATTTATATGCACCAAATTGTATGGCCTTCCCTGTCGTCGTTATAGAGGTACGGGTAGTCAGGGAAGGGTTGTTTGTCAACTGGTGCGATCGAGTTGTTAATTCTGAATTAACCACTCGCTAATGTCGTACATATCCCCACTCTCCCATACAGCCTGCTGCCCCGCTTCTCTGTTGCTACTTCGTATCTGAGGTATGTCCATTGTATTTAAGTATTCTGCAACCGTATGGAGAGGTTCCGTATAAAAAGTATGAGTATGATACATGGCCGTATTGGTGCCAAGTAGACGTCTGCATGAAAAGGATCAAGTAGACGTATGCATGGATCCTATGCATGCAGACGCAGGTTCAAGTGCATTGGCTCAAATATATCAGCCGCGGCAATCGTTTACTTGTGCAATTATACGACCTGGTTCAGGATCAAAACGTGCTACAAGCATAGACCCACAGATGCACCAGTTTACAGCTTCCAGTAGGCCAGTGTTCATGTGTATTATCTATGCATGGGACGGCAATAGACACTGTGGTATATGGTTCGCTTGTGCCTAAGTGACGCTGCTGTTGCAGCATTTAGTCTACGTGGCCGCCCGTTCGTTTTGATACAGCATCACGACGCTCACTGGAACACCGGGTCATATTGGTGGCTGCGATATCTGTATTATCTGTGACAGTGCACGGTCACTGTGTGAGTGTTATGCACTCGTGTCTATGTGTAAGCACCCAGTAGTTCCTTCACCGTATACCTATGAACTTAGCTAGTAAGCCATCTCAATCTATGCTCTATTGCGCGTTTCCCGGCACGCAAAGCCCCTACGGAAGGAGTCACCCGGCTCACCATGTTGCGTATCTTCATAGTCGCTAGAGTGTGGTTTCTGATTCTGAGTTCGCGTTCTGATTCGAAAATGGGGGGCTGACATGCGCGTACGTAAACTCGCGACACAGAGCATGTATCTGCATCACTATCACAATTAGGGTCGTCATGTGATCAATAAGGATGTTGTTATGGAGCTTGTGTGGTGTGGATGTTCACAGTATACCACACTTTATATCTGATATGCCGGCGCGTGTCATCAGCCTCATTCAAATGACATCTTAACTCATTGTGAGGAGTTTGATATGACGAACACTCTGATGACCTCTCTGATGACCTTTCTGAAACCCTTGCATCAAAAGGGGGGCCTAGACCTGTAATAAAGGTCTCTCAAGTGCATGTCATATGTCCGCAGTGTATAAGCTATTAGGGATGCCTATGAACTCTTCTATAAGGTGGTCGTGTGAGCTATCAGGGATGCCTATGCGCTCTTCTATAAGGTGGTTGTGTGAGCTTTCAGGGATACCTATGCACTCTTCAATAAGGTGGTTGTGTGAGCTATCAGGGATGCCTATGCACTCTTCTATAAGGTGGTTGTGTGAGCTATCAGGGATGCCTATGCACTCTTCTATAAGGTGGTTGTATGAGCTGTCAGGGATGCCTATGCACTCTTTAATAAGGTGGTTGTGTGAGCTTTCAGGGATGCCTATGCACTTTTCTATAAGGTGGTTGTGTGCACACCCGCCACAGGCTTACAAGAGACATGGTCGGTATCGCCCACTATTCTTTGTAGAGGCTGTGTGGTGTCTACTCAGGATAGTACCTACGTCGTATGTGCACTACGAGCCAATCCGGGTCTCGGTACGACCCGATTTACCAGTCTGGTGACACGGACACCTCAAGTCCGATTGTAGAGATCAGGGCCGTAGTCTAGCACGAGCTTGCGTGCCCGTAACCAAAGCACACGAGCCCTTTAAAGCAACAGTTTGACCCCCAAATATACTTACTTGTCACCAGACACCCTTGCTCTACTTCATAACCTCACTTTAGCCGCAAGTCATGAAGCTGTCTCCCTGATCCAACATACGACACCTATTGGGCTGTATACCATTTATTTGACATGATTCAGTCCCTCAACTATTCCTCACTTGTGCTATGGTTATGTGTGCGTACAATTAGGTCATTCCTCCTCATACTACCAGCCAACTGTCCTTTCAAGGTCACTTTGATACTCAATCTATGTTACATACACATCCAGGCCACCGTCTCTAACGTCTTCTGCGATGGGTCAGCCTGGCGTCGGTGTCACCACCACGCGATCGATTACTCTGGGACGTGAATACCAACCCAACAATCTGCAACGCAAGCGCAAGCACGGCTTCCTCCACAGACTCGCGACCAAGTATGTACTATAGGCACACCTTTGCGTACTATAGATGAGTGGTATAGGCAAACCTTTGCGTACTATAGATTGGTGGTATAGCCACACCTTTGCGTACTAAAGATGGATGGTATAGCCACACCTTTGTGTACTATAGATGGGTGGTATAGCCACACCTTTGCATACTATAGATGGGTGGTATAGCCACACCTTTGCGGACTATAGATGGGTGTTATAGCCACACCTTTGCATACTATAGATGGGTGGTATAGCCACACCTTTGCGTACTATAGATGGGTGGTATAGGCAAACCATTGCGTACTATAGATGGGTGGTATAGGCAAACCTTTGCGTACTTTAGATAGGTGGTATAGACACCCCTTTGCATACCTTAGATGGGTGATATAGCCACGCCTTTGCGTACTTTAGATGGGTGGTATAGCCGCACCTTTGCGTCTATAGATGGTTGATCTTTGCGTGACAGAATGTGTTGGCGCCTGTCGTAGCGTTTGGTCACCCTGATGATCTATGGTGGTTGTTCTTATGTGCTTGTCGGCAAGAAAGTGGATGCCCTGTTCCCGGCGGTTACATGAATAGGCCCATGGGAGTCCAGTACATACCCCACTCGTGGGATATTCCGAGATGGGGCTGGAACAAACAGGGGCTAGCAGGCGAACGAACCAAAATGGAATGAATACACTCTCGCTAGACTGATGTTCGCCGCACATACTCTGTCGTTGCCCTAAGTTTGCTATCACGGAGATCGGATATCCCTGTTCTATGCTGTATCGGCCTTCGGAAATCAACCATTCCATGATGTTTTTGTCGGAAAGCAGCTTGTCTAGTCTTACTCTTAATTAATAGCAAATCTACAGCCGCTGCTGTGCATTGTCTGGCAACTTACAAGTCAATTGATATGTACTGGTCTGCATTCTAAAATATACTCGCTTGCATTCATACCTAAGTGTTAATATCTCTTACCCTCGTTGCCTGACTAAGTATACTCACTTTCTGACCATCCACAGGGCCGGTAGGAAAGTGATCAATCGCAGACGACACAAAGGAAGAAAATACTTAAGCCACTGATGGGTTTAATATAAACAAATCGACCATTTTTATCTTCAACCGACCGTTTATATCGAGTTTTTGGTATATGTGTGTATTATAGGAGTATGTATAACATATGCATATAGATCTGTGGCATAGACTGGCCCCTTTGTCTCCATCCCTTAAAGAAATTATAACAGCTCACTTTCCCTTGGCTCATCCGCTATGCATGATCTGATTGATCGTTACTTGTTCGCTTAATTTGAAAAAAAGTCTGTGAGGTTTTATGTATATATATGTACATCACTACCTATGTATAGAAATCTTTCTCACTGACGTGTATATTCGTTTAAGGTTTTGGCGGCAAGACAGCGAGCAGTTGGGAGGGGAGTTTCATGTATATTTGGTCACGTACTAGCGGACGCTCAGCTGCATGACATGATCATAAACCGTCGTGATGGTTACTACATATTGTATTTTTATTGGATCGCTGACTGAGCAACTCTTAAACTCTAAATGGTATATATATCAACAGCACACGCATGACAGGAAACGTAACCACCCACCGTTCCATCAAAACTCGCAATGGGACTCGAGATGACAGCGATGTTTGGCTTTTCCTCAATATTTCTTTCCTTAGATGAATGCAATTTTACAGAAACATGGCGAATTAAATAATATCTACTACAGGCACGTCTACGACAGCATTGCACTGGTGGTGTACCCTCACAATATACTTATCATCACGACCCTCACATGCGCTTCGCATGCAACAATTCTCAGCGAAATCAGTGGCATCCGCAATGGTTAAGGCCGACAATAGATTGTTCAGCACAGTCCCTGTGGCACAGACAAACTTGAGCGGATCAGACAACTGGAAAGCCGCACAGGTCGAGGGTTTGCAGCAAAGAAGGTTGAAATTCACCAAGTCTGGAACGAGGGCATCAGTAAGGCTCGAATCTATAATAAACCCAGTCGTACACTCATTGGAAATCGAAAACCCTGAACACGTCGAGGCTTTACAGCATCGATCGTTGTAATTTTCTCCATCTAAGACGGTGAGTAAATTGCTCAATATGTCTACAACGAACCCATTAGAGCACTGGTTGAGAAGTGACAACCCAGTACACGTCGTCGAGGTCGAGATCGAGGGTTTGCAGCATAGAGTGTTGTAGTCCGTTGCAGTCACAACAGAGACTAAATTGTTCAACGTATCTACAACAAACCCGCTGGAACACTGGTTGGTGGCTGAAAACCCGACACACGTCGAGGCCTTACAGCATTTATCGTTGTAATTTGCTTCGTCTTCAACAGTGAGTAGATTGCTCAATGTGTCGACAACGAACCCGGTGGAACATTGGTTGGTAAGTGAAAACCCGGCACACGTCGAGGGTTTACAGCACAACGTATTGTACTCCGTGGCAGTCACAACAGAGACTAAATCGTTCACTGTGTCTACAACAAACCCGCTGGAACACTGGTTGGTGGCTGAAAAGCCAACACATGTCGAGGCTTTACAGCAGATATCGTTGAAATTCCCGCTACTGCCCACAATGGCGAGATCATTTAAGGCGTTCACGATAAAACCGGTAGCGCATTGATTGCCACTTGAAGAGTCTGCACACGTCATTTCTCTACAGCAAAGGGTATTGTATTGCCCAGGAGCTATGACCTCTACGAGGGCCTTTCCGGAGTCAAATACATATCCTGCAAGACAGGAGTCTGTAGCTTCCGAACAAGTTGGATTTAAACCTTTGCAGCATGTCTCGCTATATTGCGCTGCACTTGGTACAGTGACATCATTGGCGCTTGGGTCCACTTCGTATCCAATATCACACTGGGAGGTACTCGAAAAACCCTCACATGTCGAGGGCTTGCAGCAAAGATCGTTATAAAAAGCTGGATTTTCTACAGCGTCTGTGTCCTTGCTCGAGTCCTGAACATATCCGGCAGAGCATTGGCTTGAAGCCGATGGTTCTGCGCACGTTGGAACCTCTGCACAGCATTGCAGATCACATCTGTCCGCCCCAAAGCAGATTGTGTCTGCAGATTTACCGCTTGTGTATCCATAAGGACAAGTTGTCTGGCCGCAAGTACGCTTCTCGCACACACCGGTCAATTGTATATGCTGCCGGCAAGATACAGGGGCAGTTGTGCCTGAATAGGCCTCGTATTGAGATCCTGGAGGAAAGTAGCAGTAGTACCCGCAATTGGGTTTGAAGATCGGATCACCTTTATCAACCGTTATTTCGTCGGATAGTTGATTAGGGTTAATGAACCAGTGGCCATGGACATCAGGGTCGTGCACTTTTGTGTCATTAATAACACCCGATCCATGACACAGGCTAGTCCGTGTTGCTGGAGCCAACCAGTCTAAGGTCTTACCAGCATTACAATTGGAGGTATCAACACTTACATAATCTACATCACCCAACATGTATCTATCACTACATGTTGCACATGTCTCACATTCAGTCGAACAGTCAGGATCTAAAAGGCAGCCGGTCATAGTACAATCATAGAAAACGTAATTGCCATAACCTTCCGTTCCACATTTTGTGCAACCCCAGTTATTATTGTTATCCACTACGGCCTTATTAACCCCGGATAACTGGGAGGCAGCTAATCCTATAAGGGCTGCTAACAGCGCACATACACTTAATATCCGCATCGTAGAAAAACACGAAGTATTACTCACTGATATCGATGTTGTAAAAGTGCGAATGCGAATAGATGCAACAAACTCGCTGTTTATTTACATTTTGTACGACTATTTTAGAAGGCTATCGTTTTCAGTTTTATATATATTATATGTATTCAATGTATTTTTTTAACAAAAGAATACTATTTATAAGAGGAGTAAAATCATTTGTTAAGTTTTGTTATAAAACGGGTTAAAAAAATAGAGAAAAAGGACATTTTTTTTTGTGTATTTTAGAAAAATAAAAGTACAACATTAAAAAATTAAAAATTAAAAAACTTGAACAACAGGTCATAGCCTTCTAAAAATAGACAAGAAGAAAGCTCTGAACAAATCAACAGCTCGCGCTTTCTGTCCGTACTCCGTTGCAATAACTTCTTGTGACTTTGAGTTTTGACTTTGAGTTTTTGAATCGGTCGGGGGGGGGGGGGGGGGGGGGGGTTTAAACACCTAAAATGTTTTGTTTTGTTTTTTCAGTATTACTCTATATGTTTTTTTGTATACATACTCCAGAAGTCTCAAACTCGAAGTGTAAATATTTACACGGTAAATTTAACCTGAAAAAAAGGTATTATACCTTTATACTTTGTTTTATTCTATTTTTTAAAAATATATATATAAAAGTATATTATACAACAAAGCAAACCTCACCTCTCGGGCCTCAGTCCCTCAGGCCTCAGCTGTCGCCTGTCAGCAGTAAGCAACTCAGCACTCAGCGAACACTTTCGAAAATGGAGAATCTAAATTCTCGATTCGCAGTCAGCACTCAGGCTTCAGCACTTCAGCAGACTCGGCACTGTCGGCAGTCGGCCCTCAGAACTCATGACTCATCAGCAGTTTTGAGACGTTGAGAAGTTGAGACTTGATGGCGTACGCGGCGCTGCAGTCTGCACGCCCGATTTAATTTATCTCCCTTGAATATGCTGTTTAGTTGTATTTTAAAATTGTGCCAACATAAATTCAATAAATCTAAAAAGTTACATTCCTTATATTAAAATTCACTTTATCGTTAAAAGCAAAATTGAACCCGAACCCTGGCCTCGGACTAAGCGGAATTGTCAATTTTGTAATCGGTGGTATAACACTGTCCGCACCGGTACAAACAATTTGTGAAATGAAATGAATTTTCCAAGGACAATTCGTGAAGTTTTATTGGCTTATCCAAAATATTTATTCAGTTTCCAATTCACGAGTGCGGGATTTTCAAAACAATCCAGAAAACAATTTGCGTGATCATAAAATTGTCAATGTCGCCCAAATACTCCAGACGGAGTCCAGACTCCAGAGTAGTAATTGAAATAGAATACCTCGCAGGGCCACAGCCTCCCACAAACATGCATAATCCAAAAAATATTCCAGAGCAATTTGAGACTTTTAACGTACTCTATTGGTATATACAAATTTAGAATTCTATAAATAAATCCATTTTGCAAATTCTTTTGCAAAGAATTCCTACTCCACATACTTTTTAAAAACAATCGTTTATAAACTTTAAAGAAGTTTCCCCAGTGCTATCCAAGCTATAGAAACTGCCCCTTTCTTTTACTTCCACACGGATTCTTAAGATCTCTCTTATCGATTCTTCAAAAGAATTGAGACCCCAAATTGTTTTGGAAAACTAGAAAGAATTTGCAAAATGGATTTTCAAATTCATTTTAGAAAATTTCGCCCGGTGCGGGATTTTTTTTATGAAGATTTCTAATAAGGAATTGAATTCTTGTTGCAAATTCTTTGAACCGGTGTCTGGTGCGGACAGTCTAAGTAGAGTGTGTGCTTGGCAGTTTTAAAAGGTGAGTAGATTCTTAAGAGCTCTTAAAAAAGAGCTATCGATTGGTATTTGGTAGTCAACTGTCTATTTAAAAGGTTATGGCCAATGGGACCTGGTCACCTGGCCCCCTGGTCCGGCTGGGTCAACTGAGTTTTTAATTTGAGTTTATATTTTTAGAGATTTGTTAAAACTGCGACCACTACGCCTGCGACCGGGTCTTGCGACCACTATGACTGCGACTCTCGCCTGTGATCATAAGACTGAGGCTCTCGCCTGCGACCACTTAACTTGACGCTCTCGCCGGCGACCCGGTTTACGTCTGACGCTTTTACTTGCGATTCTAGGGTTTTAGGGTTTTAGGGACATAAACAAACACATATATCATAGCCCCCTGAGAAAAAAGAGATCAGTTGTTGATTATTCAGGGGGCTATGCATAAATACATACATAAATATATACACACATACATATATACATATCTA